ATAACATTCAGAGTGATTCTTTATAGGGTTGCTATGAATCAGAGTTGACTCAAGGGCACATAACAACAACAATAGGTATACAAATTTCTGATGCCTCACAGCACATAACATTTCCTGAAATTTTAACTTCTTTTGTAATGAGTAGTTTTAGCTCCATCCTCTCATTTTCTTTTATACTAAACATTAGTGATAATGTGTGCCAAATTTATTAACCCACTTTGCTATAATGTTCCTACTCTGTTAAAACGTATGAATTTGAAGAATTTTGAATTCTGCTCTCTTTTATTCCACTTCACCAGGCAAAGCCAGAAATGTTCTTATTTGAAGTTTGTCTGACTTCACCCTTTTTAACTTTGAGAACATGAGTTAATTGGAGTGCTCATGCATCACAGTTATACCTAAATTCAAGATTTGCTAGAAAATGCAATTCTTATCAGTTAGAAGCAATTCAACAGGGGATGCTGTGCTTGGGGAGGGAGATCAAATCATATTCAAATGAAAGTCAAGGTGACTCCCATTTGGCTAAACTTTAAAATAAATGCCATTTCCTTTTCTTCACCTCATCCGATTACACATGGGAGATAATTCACTAGGGGGTGAGGAGATAGCAATCCAGAGATGTTAAAAAAGAAGCAGCTACAACAGCAGCATTTTAAACACTTATCACCTGCCTTCATGGCACTATTTCCAGCAGAGGAAGCCATGCTGCTCCAGACACTTCACTCTGCAGCACTTCAAGAGCTTTCAGCCCTCTTGTAGAGTGTGATAAACAGACTTAATGATAAACAGACTTAAAAGATGAGAAAAATATTATGAAGATATAACCTTTATGACCTCTTTCTTTTTTAAACTGAAGTACAGAGCTAAGACCTCAATAGGTACTTAATCATCTTGGTAAGTTCCTGACTTCTACTGAAATGATGAACACTCTGTGTTCATTAGATTAAAAGCTTCTGCTTCATTCTCAAATTTAAGATGGTTATCTATAAATTAGGAAAGAAACCCAGCAAAATACCTCACATATTGTAGTGGTGTTGGCTCACATAATTGCAGTGTTACTGCATTTCATTGGGATTTCAAGTCTGAGTCCTTCTGAAAGGTCTGTGGTGGCACAAGTAGGTAGAACCCACCAAGCGCTATCATGGAATGAGCCCTGAAGTGGTGATCTGCTCCTGTCAAAACTACAGGCAAGCAAAGGCTAAAGAGCAGCTTCTGTAACACACGTGGCTTCTGTGCGCTGCAGCCAAAGCAATAGTAAGAGGTCTGGTTTTGATCTTACAAAGCACACCCGCATTTGTAGCATCCGGAGAGATCATAAACTATGGTTGAAAATCAGATAGGCTTACCTTCACCATGTTACCTATAATCCTTTGTTTTCTTTGGGGGACATTATACAAGATGATAAAACTAAGGAATGGTCCACTGGCTTAGAAAAGAGTTAATGATGGCACTTACTATAGAGTGAGTACCTAAAGGAATCTATAGATAAATCCCCTGTAGGAGGTCTGGGACTCACAAACAAACACACACACAAAACCAACAAAAAAACCACCAACAACAAAAAAACCTTAGTAAAGAGACTGCCCTTTGGATCAGCAAACTATAAGTTACTTGAAGACTTTATTTAGATATCAAAGTGGCTGATGAAAACGTAAAAGTCAGCAGTTTGAAGGGAACTAACAATCTGACAAATTTGGCTCTAATAATTACTGACTTCTAGATCTAAATGATACAATGAATTTCAGAAGGACAGGTACTTGTTTTGCTTTGTTACCGAGAAGGGGTTCTGGCTCACACTATGGCACTGGACACTGGAATTAAAGTGAGGAGTTCTATCTTCAGGGAGCATTTATCATCTATTTTCTTTGCTGTGGTTTCTCTCTCCCCCCCCCCTTATTAGAAGGTGGGCATATATTCATTTAATAAAAAAGTAGCGTGAGCCTAAAACAAGATCATAGGATGTTTTAACAACCAGATTTGATTACTGCCTCCATCTCCCTGCTACGCTTCCTCTTCTTTGGTGAGGAAATATTGGTTTAAAAGAAAATTTTAGGGAATGAAAACAGTGTGTATCTTCATTGGGATAGCGGTTATACAACTCTATACATTGTTGACAACTTAAAAAACATAGCTTCATATTGTTCTTAGGTTTTGAGCTGGCTCCAACTCAGAGTAAAGCTGTGTACCACAGAGCACATCCTGCCTTCTTCCATGTTTTTCTCAGAATCTCTGCTGGGATGAAGCCCACACTTCTCTTCATTTTGCCCGTTTTGTCTCTTACTGTATACCTAAGAGGGGCACTAGTGGTAAGGAGCTGGACTGCCATCCCAAAGGTAAATCCAAATCCACCATATCCACAAAGTTCAAATCCACTAGTTGCTCTATGGGAGAGAGTTGGGAAATCTCTTCTGATGTGACTTTACAGCTTCTAAAAACTTGCCAGAAGGTCAGCTGTGGCTTGCTTTTGACTTGAAGGCACACAACAACATTAACAATTCCTTAATAATAGAATGTAGACTGGCAAAAGCAATAGGAAGAACAACTAATGTAGACGAGATAAACAGACTATTTCAAAGAACAGCCTGAGAAGACAAAATATCATGACAAAACGTATAAAGAATCGGAGTCAGAAAATCAAAAGGAAGAATGTATTTCTCAAGCTTCAATAACAAGACAACAAATACAAACCTTCAGTTGCAATACTGAAGGATTCTATGGACGATCTTATTGAATGATGCAGGAAGCAACACAAAAAGATGGAAGTAAGACACAGAGCCACTTCACCAAAAAGAATTGACATGGAACCACTTCCAGGAAGTACCAGTCATAAAAAATCAACAGTAACACAGAAGTGAAACATGCACTGAAGAGTCTGGTGAAAAAATAAGGCTTCAGGAATTGATGGGACACTGACTGACATGTTTCAAGAATAAGATGGGAAGTTAAATGTGCTCACTAGTCTATGTCAGGAAATTTGGAAGATATACCACATAAAGGACTACTACATCACCTGAGCTCTGGGTGCCTGTGCATATTCACACTCCCCAACCCACGTTGTACTGTTTTTTGGGGGGAGAGAAAAAATAGAATATGATAGAGTAAAAAAAAAAATCAAATGAAATTAAAATAATATCTTAATTAGAAAAAACTTTCAATGCTAATCTTTTCCAAACTTACAATAATGGAAATTTTTAGACAATATATTCTCTGTCCCCTACCTAAACAGTGGGACAACAGTTTTATTCCTTTGTATTATTTTTCATCTATAGAATTATTTTGCTCTTATACCTCTACATAGCTTTCCTCATATAGTTGTTGGTTAACAACAGGAGACACAGAGACACAAATGTTAAAATACAGGTTAATACACACCCACTCATACCCTGCAGAACAGAGTTATTTTATAGGGTTTCCAAGCGATACATCTTTCAGAAGGTGGCCTGTCACCCATCTTTTTCCCTTAGAGAGGTTGGTGGGTTTGAACTGTTGGTTTTTAGTTAACAGCCAAGTGCTTCATTACTGTATCCTTAGGGCTCTTTCATAAAGATAAGGCCACAATTTACTTTCAGATTATATCCAGTTCAGTAGAATCATAATAGTTCAGTAAAATCATAGTGTCTAGAACAAGGTGCCCAAATAGAAGGAAAAATGGAACAAAACTCAAAATTACATACCTACACACACAAAAAGGATGATGCTCATTGTTCTGACAGAGAGTGGTAGAAGTCTGAGACTGTAGTCATTAATCTCTCTCCAAGCCTGAAATTGTCATCACGTTGTGGCTCTCAACCTGCAGCCAAACAATGGTCAAGTGAGGAAGTGAGCAGGGCAGAACGCATTGCGGAGAACCACCAACCAGACAAGATCAAAGAGGAACACCTGCTCCAGAGACCAAGCTTAGAAGGCAGAAAGGGATTAAAAAGGACAAATGGAAACCAGGAAGAAAGAGGAGGTGGGAGACAAATGGTATTAATTCATATCATGAAACACAAAGTGTTATTTATTGCTGAGAGGAAAACCAAGTTGCTCTGGACACTTTCACTCAAATCACAATTAAATGTTAATTAAAACAAACAGTAGGAAATCAGCTCATTGTGGTCCTTTGTCCTTGGGGCATAGAGGCTGTTCCATTTTCTGGAATGGAGGGTCCCCAGTGCCTTGAAAGCTGGCTGGAGAGAGAAATGCCAGAGAGCCAAGGCACACAAAGGAGGTAGCATGCCTCCTTTAGGGAGCTGTGAATGCCTTTATCAACATAAAATGCATGCTGGTTTTGGTTCGTAGTTTTGTTTTTTTTGGAGATGTGTTAAAAGTAAGGTCAGAGAAGGAGACAGAAGCTGATTATGGAGCCGGTAAAGGCCTGAAGCAATAGGGGTTTCCCACAGATCTCTGTCTGAGTGGGAGTGAATGACTATTCAATGATTTTCTTATTAGTCGGGATCTCAAAATTACTTTCTCATGCCCCACTTACTCCCATTTCCCATTCTCTCGACTGTGTGGACTAAGCTGAAGAGAAATGAAGGGCATTTATCATTTAACTAGCCATTTCTACTTAGGTTTGAAATGGTTAGATTTTTACATAAATAGTGGATGATGACTTTTCATTTGGAAATGTTTTCAAAATTGATTAAAACACTGAAATAGACCAGAAACACAGAAGCAGTTTTCAGATTCAAGCTTCAGGAAGGGACGTCTGTAGTAACATTCAGCAGCTAGTCAAGGGCTACGAGCCCTGTGCTTTTACTTTAGGGCATGTTTGGAGGTTCTCTCTCACATATATGTACACAATATCATGTAAAAAAAAATTAAGTTTTTGCCAATCCATAAAGAAACTCTTCTGAGAGAAACCAAAATAAAATAAAAAACAAAAAAAACCCACCCACCCACCCCTGCTTTTCTTGAGTCTCTATGACCAAGGTGAGCATACCACATGACACCAAGTAGAAGTGGTAAGGGGCGTTTACTTAGCTGCCATTTTTTTTTTTGGTGGAGACAAGCTGTCTTTATTGCTGGGGGCTGGGGCGGCCGGTGCTCAGGTTGGTGGGGCGGGTTCGCTTCCTCTTCACCAGCACAGGCTTCTTCTGGCTGCGTAGGATGGCGCTGGCCCTGCGGATGGCGGCCATGCGCAGGTTGGGCCGATACTTGTTTTTTTTTTTTTTTTTCAATGCAATAGACATTATTTTATTCAGGGAGCCCTGCTGGCACAGTGGACAATGCTCTGCTATTTAACAAAAATTCAGTGGCTGGTACCCTCAGCCTCTTTGACAGGAAAGATGTGGAAGTTGTCTTCCATGAAGATTTGCAGCCTTGAAATATCTTTTTTTTTTTAAATTTAGGTTGTTTATTTTTCATTTCAATGAACATCTACAGAGATTTTGGGATTCCATTCATTCATTGTTGCACTATTCTCCCCGCACAAACCCCTCCCCCCTCCCCCCCATATTCGCACAATGGAACACTATGCTGCATTGAAAAACAAGGAACTCATGCAATATTATTCAAAATGGGTGAACCTGGAGGTCATTATGCTGAGTGAGGTATCTCAGTCACAAAGGGACAAATGCTATATGGTGCCACTGTTGCAGAATGAGGCTGGCATTGGGGTGGGGGTAAGATTGAAGTCGATACTTGTTTTTGCGGATCATGTGGCGGATGCTGCTGAGCGTGGCCCGGGCGTTCTTGTGGATGGTGGTCGGCACGTAGGAGGTGGCCGGCTTCCTCTGGCCTGACCTCCGCTTCATCACCACCACGACCCCCTTGTTGTCGGGGGCCGACTCCACGCCCACGGTCTTGCGGTGGATCAGCCCATTGTAGCGGAAGGAATTGCGGGCTTTGAGGTTATTGGGCTCGGTGCTGTAAGTCTGCTTGTTCCTTTTAATCAAGAAGCTGGAGCAGTTACGCACGACCATCCATTGCAGATGGGCAGACATGGCGGCAGCTCCTATCGCAGCTGCGGCTGGAGGTGGAAAGAGACATGCAGAAGGAAGAGGTTGGCTGCAATTTTTATGGCAAGAGATCATCGACTTTTCCTTCCATGGTGGACAAACCACCAACCTTTGGGTTAGTCCTCAAAAAGCAAATATTTTAAGAACAAACCTAGGAATATAACTAAGAGGCAGAAATGGTGCCCACAGCAAAGGGCGAAGTCTTGCAGAAGTGGTCTGCCGTTGAGGCTCTATCTCCCTGAATTGCCTCACTGCATGGGGGCAATTCACTCCTTACAAGAGCATGTCTGAGTCACAGAATACATCTCAGAAACACCTCCCAAAACAATTCTCATTGAGACTGAGTCTGTGCTAACTCTAAGCACCTCAACAGCATGGAGCAGAAACATGTCACAGGGGACCGAGCTTGAAACCTGTAGAGAAGTGAACTGTCATAGCATTTCTTCCTGCAGAGTAGTTGCTGGGTTGAACTGCCAACCTCGAAGTTAACAGTCAAGTGCTTAATCCCTGAACTACCAGCGCTCCATATAAAGTGTGAGGTACATGTATGTATCAACATGAACACAGAGTTCTACTGAGTCAATTTAATTTCAAGATGAATTGTCTCACATGAACACTTTTGTGTTTTTTCAGCTGAGATTCATAGTACCAAACCTCCCCCCCAAAAAATATCCCTTTCCCCCAAAACTCCCATGCTTTGTATTGCAACTCAGCAGACACATCCAGATAAATGCAAATCATTAGATTTGGAGAAATGCTTGCCTTTGCTTCTCGTGTGGCACCTTAATAAGTATTTCACTTAAAAACATTACTGCAAATTTGCCAATGAGTTTGTTACCATTGATGAATCACTATTGGTAATTACTTCAAAAGTTTAAGCACTTTCTTTGCCTCCTTCTGTGGTTGATGTTGTCGTTATGTGCCATCAAGTTGCTGTGACTCACAGCAACCCTGCGAACAATAGCTCTGCCCCAGGCCTCAGTTGCTAAGTCAATCCATCTCAGCCAGAGTCTTCCTCTCTTGTGTTGTCCCTTCACCCTTCCAGGTCCTTTTCCAAGGACTGGCTCCTCTTGGTAACGTGTCCAAAATATGTGAGCTTCAGCTCACATATTTTGCCTCCAAGGAGCAGCTCTGCTTCACCTTCACCAAAACAGACCTGCTGTTCTCCTAGCAGTTCAAGATATGTTCAATACTCTTCTCCAGCAAAACTCAAAGGCATTGATTCTTTTTCCATCATCTTTAGTCATCGTCCAGCTCTCTGATGCACAGCAAGTAATTGTAAAGACCATATCTTGAATCAGGCACACCTTAGTCTCTAGACTGATATCACTGCTCTTCAACACTTCAGCGAGCTCCGCAAGAAGAGATTTTCCCAATGTAACCCATCTTTTGATGTCCTGAATGCTGGGGCCAACTGTGTTGATTGTGGAACTAAGTAAGCTAAAACTGTTAACAATCTCAATCTTTTCTCCATCTATCATGATGCAGCTTTCTTATTTCTTGAGACAAAATCCTGCAACATTTTATGAACTCTTCAAAAGAAGAAATCAAGTAACTAAAAATCTTGATTTGAGTGGAATAGGTTTCTTTTTAAAAAAATGTGAAAGAAATTATTAAGTATCAATACATGTAACTCCCTAGGACAAGTGAAATTAAGAAAAGGAGCCCAAGGGCCCCCTCATTACCACCTCATAAACTTCAATAACAAGTCTTCTAAGAGAGAAGAAACATAAGCCAATAGCCAGAGGATTTGTTTTCATTAATTTCTCATTATCTGAAAGTCAATCTATAAGTAGCCAAGATAGCCTTCTAAATGTCATTCCTTACAATTCTGGAATTTCCTCAAGGTTAGAGACAGGAAAGAAATGTGGGTTCTACTTGAAAATAAAGAGAACAGAGATCTTTAACCTCACTGGTGAGAATCTGGCAGAAGCAGGACTGTTATCTGATCTCCTTCTCACTATGAGGAACATCTGTGAGCCTGGGGGAGGGGAGGTTACCCCAGCACCCACCAGTAAGCCATCCTCTCATCTCTGACATGCTTGATTGAGTGCAGGGACCCACAAAAATCACACCTTCGCTCATATAAATCTACACCATCTCCCTATAATTTTGCCATGTTATAATCAATCTGGCATCAATATAGCTACATCTTTCAGGTATCCATCCATTAATCTTAATGTCTTTCTATATGTAATTACCTGCTATCTCATCATCTCAATTAAGTCCTTTAGGTTTCTGAACTTTGTGCCTAAATCTACATGGGCTTTTCAGTGCAGTAAAAACGCTTCCATGTATCTAGGGGTCAGTTTTGGAAAAGGATGAAAAACTGTGAAATTTCAGAACATTTGACACAGGGCTTCTAAGAATTAATTGTCAGGAAATAATCAGATGAAATTATAAAGATGTTCGTCTCAGTTTTTTCTCTCACTGAAAGTGCAAATATCTTGACTAATCAGAAATAAAAGTCTGATCAAATTAATCAGAATAGACCCACATAATGAAAGACTAAGGAGCCATTAAATAAAACTATGTTTGACTTTGGGAAAACAGTCACATTATACTAATGTGAAAGTAGTATACTTTAATCTCATTTCAAAAACAAAAAAGTATGAAATGCTACATATCAGTGACATATACTTTTTTGGAAGTAGAGCAATAGATGACTATTAGGTTTATTCCTCAGCACTTTTAAGTGTTTTCACAACGAGCATATAAATACAAGCATGCATTGTTTGATTCAGTATCACTGGTAGACATTTAGGAAATAAAAGCATTATAAATATGAGCAAAGACATAGAGAGATAATGCCCACCTGATTTTAACTTCCTGTCCACATTCTCTTTCTGCCCCACTATAAGGCAAAACCCTTTAGAGAGGCATCCATACAATTGCTTGTTACATATGTGCAGTCAAGGACCTGTTTGTTAGAGTTTAATGGTTAATCATTTTGATTAGCAATATATATTTTTGTTAACTATAATACAATTTCATTACCAGAAAAATGGATATCTGATTGCATGTTGGTAGCATAGTTAAATTAATGAAAAAAAAATTTAAAATAATTATTATGTGTAACCCACCCAGTGATGCAGAGAGAGAACTGAACAGAGTCACCTGATTCAATGCCCCTGTTTATCTGCTCACAGTCAAACATCCAATCAGGCTTTCTCATCACCATCTCCCTGAAACCATCTGTGTTCAGGTCACTCCTGACATTTCTGTTGTTATAATCAATGTCTATCCTCAATTTTCATTGAACTTCACTGCATGCAGCATTTAATATTACAGCTTTAAATATTATCTACATGTTGTTGGAGAATCCTTGTGTAGTGCATATGATTATATGCTCAGGTGATAACTAAATGGTTAGAAGTTCAAGTTCACCTAGAAACATGTTGGAAGAAATACAAGGTGAGTCATTTAAAATCCTATGGAACACAGTTCTGTTATGACCTCATGGGGTTGGGATAAATCAGGTTAGATTCTACTGCAATCGCTACTTATTGATAACACCCAAAGTTAAACTGCTTGCCCAAAACCATTTCCTAACTCAAATATTCAACTATTAAATCAATATTTGCATTTCAATGTCTAAAAGGCATTAAAAATTGACATGCCCATAATGGAACTGCTGATCTTTTCAGTCCTTCCCATCAGCCTTGATAACAACTCCATGCTTCTAGCTGTCCATCACTCACCTGTATATATCACACCTCACACCCAGTCTGTCAGGAAAATGCCTGAATCTCCTGCTAACATATATTCACAAATCAACTACTCTTCAGTATCTCTACTGCTCACACCTTGAGCAGTCTAAGATGCCATTAGTCTTCTACTTGTTCATTATAGGAGCCTTGCAACTGGTCTCCGCATATCTACCTTTCCCTCTCCAACAATCTAATCTTAACAGTTGCAGTCTGCTACTACATCTACTCCAACTCATCATAGATTGTTTCATCTCCAGTACTCTAGAGATGTTATAAGAAGGGAGTGGTCCCTTGGTAAAAGAAAAATTCTTCATAAAGTAGAGACTTCAATGAAAAAAGGAAAGGCTCTCAATACAATAGGATGACAAAATGGTTTCAACATTGGGCTTAGATATCTAAGTGAGAGGACAAGGTAGGATGAGGCAGTGCTTCATCTGCTGCGCAGTGTTGTTCTAACTGGGAACTGACACAGAGGCATCTAAACACAACACGTTTCATAAAACTCTCCCAATTAACTCTGATGCACAGCCAAATTCAAGAATTACTAGTACAGATTACACAAGGCAGAAGTGCAAAGAAACCAGCAGATTTTTCTCCTTAAAAAAATAAAGTGCAAGTCATTCTCCTTACTCACTCTATGAGAAAACAACATAGAAATATGTAATTACGATGCTCAAAATAGTTTCTTTTAAAAAGTAAAGAAATGATTCACACTTCTAAAGATGCTTAGGCCACAGGTGCAATCTGCTGTGGTGGCCAAAACCCTTGGAAAGTCAAATTAAGGGAAGTCGCACTGAGCACAATTGTTTGCTGGGCTCCAAAGCTGGATCCTCTTCTCTCTAGGCAGCCAGGAAGGATCCCTGGGATACAGCGAGAGGTGCATCCCAAGGATGAACACAGCCAGTTGGCCTGCCTTTGGAAAGAGGCCACTTCCCTGAGTGCAGGAGCCATTCCAGGGTACTTGGCTCCCCCCAAATCCTGCTGGCTGGCTGCCCCAGTGGGGAAGGAAGTATCTGTGAAGAAGCACCACTGACTGACCTTCCTGTGTCCTCACTGAAGTCCTGCCCCTACCAGAGACCTAGCTCATTTCCCTGTGGATAAGGCAACCAGAGGCAAGCCCAGGAGTTCCATGGATGCACTTAGGGTAATGAGTTAGAAGTCATACACTCAGTATAATGTCCTCCATGGTCACCCATTTTGTATAATATTTCATGAGTTCTTTGTTTTCCAGTGCTGCATAATATTCCATGTGTGAATATACCACAGCTTCTGTAT